ATAGGAACAATCACGCCCGATTTAGCTGAAAAACAACTACTTTTCGATTCTCCCATTGACTTATAATGGGGAGCAGCGATGACCTGACCTGACCTTAGGTCACATTTATAAAAAATCCGAGATAGCCATTTTGTAGAGCTGGGCGACATCTTCAAGTACTGTAAATTTTACATCGATCGGATAAAAGCTGTGCCTTTGAGAGAGCTTTGAACTTTTTTAGAGGTGGTGTCAGTTTTGGTGACCTTGTGACCTGACCTGACCTGACCCGAACCCCCCAAAAAAGGACATGATGTAAAAATGTTGAATAAACAGCTATACAAAGTTTCAGGGCGCTAACTCAAGTGGTTTCTGAGTTATCGCTGAAAAACCACAGGGGGGGGGCCAAAATGGCCCCCCCCACCAGGGCGAAGGTTAATGACCTCCGGTGACCCTAATATTGCTCTAAAATGAAAAATGACCAAAATACTTTCAAACGTACGCATCAAGAGCCATCGACCGCTTTTTACCGCGTCTTTCTAGCCCTATTAGTTTTTGAGTTAGAGGTGGGTGGTAACATATGCCCCCCCCCCCACTTGGGCGAAGTTGGCTGAGACCGCCACTGGGGCGCGGGTTAACAACAAATATCTTCATTTTATGAATTTATTTCAGTGTTTTAATCGATGATGCTCTCTGATAATATGACACAGCAGGCATATAAGCAATTAGTGCAGCTCTAGCTGATAGCTGCTAAGAGACACACTGAACCTGATTTGACCAAATCTGCACCTGATCTGTACCAGATGTGCACCAATACCAAATGTGTACCAGATGGCCGTCGTGAAAACGGCTAATAACCATCGTAAGTAAGTTGGTTAACGGCGATCACGACCGAAGGTCAAATTTCGCCTAGCTCGACAATTTTTGACAAATGGGCACATAGCTCAGAAACGAAGTAAGCTATAACAGCGCTGCGTAAGATTACATTCGATATCTATTATATACATATGCTCTTTCGGAATGTGTACTCACATTTGATTTAGCCTCCAGTAAATAGCCATTTAGCCGCAGTGGTAAAATGTACTGTCAATATTGACGTTTTCGCGAGAAAAAATGCCTACTTTCCAAACAAACCATATGTAACACTTATTTCAACAGGCATCATATATGATTCTTGGGTTTAACCCTCACCCGCACATGCCATTTTCCCATCCTAGAACACACATGGGGGGGGGGGGTTGCCACCCCCCCGCGCCATTTCGTTCCTGTTGGAGATAGAGCTTAGCGGTAAAGACCAGAAAGATTCTTTGGGAAGAGACAAATCCAATGATACCCAGTTTTACCTTCTCAGGTCAGTCATTGACCTTCCAGGTCAAGTCAAACTAAAAAATGTTGCTGTTTTGGGTCACCGTTGGATATCAAGTGCGCTCCTTATCATATACCGATGACGATGCTGTTTTCCGGTGCCAAGCCAGCTAGAACCTCTTTGTCACACTACCCGACCAGATTTTTGCTGCTGAGGTCATTTCAGGTCAAGTTAGTTCAAGGTCAATTATATGTGTTTGTATGTCTGTGTGTGTCTGTGTGTATACCTACTGATGTGTGCACCGATTGTTTTTGTGTCCATATTACATGAAATCATGATCTGAGAAGCTTTTACCAAAAATGCAGTAAAAAAAAACTTCACAAAAAGTAAATTTAGCTTGCCTAAAACGCAATTATCTTGGATGACCTAGGTTGACCTTGACCCTGACCTTGACACCTGTACATCGTCGAACAACATGTTCCATGATAGGTGGGAGGTAAGACTGGCAAAAAAGGCCGAAGTCAAGGTGTCAAAAGCTCACAAGGCACATGGCAAACGCAAGATGTTGAGAATTGGCCATTTGGGTCATGACATGACCTGAAAAACAAGGTCATTTCTCCGAAACCAAATATCACAGCAACTTGAAATTTTCAGTGGACATCAAGAAAGGAAAGAGGAGCAGCTATACGAAAAATCAGCCTTCTAGCTCTAAAAATGTTGAGTGCAGAGCATATGCGGACGACACCCAGGTTCTAGTGAGCGGCCGTGCCGACGACCTCAGATCGCTTATCTCTCGCATGGAAGCTTCCCTCGCATCAATCAGTGACTGGTTCTGTCTTCACGCCCTCAAGCTAAACGCAAACAAAACTCAACTAATTGTTTTTGGCAGCAGACAAAATTACGGAAAGTACCCGACTTCAGCGTCTCTCTTCGTGACTCTGTGTTGCAGCCATGCGAGCAGGTGGGAAATCTGGGTGTTGTCTTTGACAGCGCCCTGTCCTGGGAAGCACATGTGTCCGAGCTTAGTCGTCGGTGTACTGGCTTGTTGGTCGGACTGTCTCACGCACGAAATTGTCTCCCTGACGGTGTCATTAAAGTTCTCGTTACATCTCTGGTCATATCACGAATCAACTACTGCCTCACTGTCATGTACGGTAACGGGACTCAGGAAAATTTTGACCGACTCCAGAAAATTTTGAACTTTGCCGCTTGAGTGATGAGTGATCTTCGGACGGCGTAAGTTTGACCACGTCTCGGACCTGCGCGACAGACTTGGCTGGCTATCACCAAAATCCATGTCAGATTACCTGACACTCACGATCGCGCAAAAGGTCATTAAGCATGAAGAGCCCGAGAACCTCGCTGCACTGTTCGTTCCCAACCAAAATTTTCGAGACAGGCACACACGGCAGGATCATCTCCTTCATCTTCCCCGACCGAGGCTTGAAACCGGAAAACGGCTTTTTGAGTACCGCGCCGCGGCGCTATTGAATAGCCTCCCACCCCAGGTAGTGCAGCTGCCACCTGCCAGCTTCGCCCGGTCTGCCAGGGCCGCGCTGATTAACAAATCCCCGCTACGCCGCTGACGAGTCTGTTTAGTAGTAGGCAGGGCATGCCGCCAATTGGTGGACGATCTGTTTGTGCTTATGTATATATATTGTTTGTCTTATGTACATATGTAGATGATTATTGTCGCGACCCCCATCGATGGATGACTGTCGTCTAGTGCTGAGTGTTCTTCCCCCTGCCCGCATGATTGTTACCCATTATACTCGGATCTTAGCCGTAATCGCCACGCCATATGTGGAAGGCTTTTGGTGTCAATACATACATACATACAATACATACAAAGACTACCTGGGGGGGGGGGGGTGGCAACCACCCCGCCCCCATGTGCGGGCGAGGGTTAAATGCGTCGCATGACTTGACCTTGAAAGGTCAGATTGAAAATGTTATCTAAGGCAAGGGCTTAATTCTTGACCAAAAAAAGGTCATGTTGCATATCAAACGATCCATATCGTTGTGTTTATCACATCCGAAGTGTTCCCATCGTTCTAAAATTTATTTATCAAAAGTTACCTATTGTCGAAAATTGGACCCTTCATTTCCTGAGATGACCTCAAAGATATAAAGATGCGTGTCTGATTTTCGGTATTTATCCTTTTGTACTTCACTAATTATCTATCATTTGATGTTTTAGTGCTTAGTATGACTATCATCCCAAGGGCTGCTGGTCAGGTCAGGTAAGCTGAGGCTCGCTCACCTGACGTGACCTCGTGACCTGGTGACGTGACCTCGTGACCTGGTGACCTGACACTGTAAGATTTGCGTCTGAAATTTTCGCAGCATGTTTCGAAAAGATATACGATAGGGTGGAAAACCACAAAGCGGCGCCCAAACACCAATAGCTACTTTTGTTGTCTGCTACCACCATGCATCGAGTGTTTTAGTGGTAGAGAGACATTGGAACGAGCGCCTCATTCAAGTGTCTTCTCATGTTGTGTTTTTTTCTCGTATGTATACTTGTAGTAATTGTAATATCGTATTTGTATTTACTATCTTTGGTCCAGTGACTTATGCTGGCGGAATATCAGCCGAAATATATGGCCTTCGGTATTTCCAATCCGATATTGATCTGAAAAAAATGAAATGTATGTACACATTCTGAAGAAAGACTTCGAAATAGCATAACTGTACCTATGTCATGTCACATGCTAGCAAGTTTCTGACCACAATCAAAATCTGGACAAGCACAGATAATGTGCCCTCAGCCCTGACTACCTCCATCGATTCGCTATTCTGGCCTGACTGGTCTAAGAGATCACAGGTCAGAGGCCATTTATAGGTCAGGATCATAAAATTTTCAGAAATGTGTAAAATAAATCAAACCGAGGGTTTCGGCGCGACCCACCACTGTATTCCCGAAACGAGGGGATGCGATCAATCCCCTACATGTGTGAGGGGCAGCATGTGTCTTCTTCACCTCTTCACTAGGTGTTTGGCAGAAAGGGAACACGTCAGAAGGAACACTGGCAGTCAGGAAACAAAATGATTCGGTGTTTATCATTGACGCCCACGTATTCACTCGCGGCAGGTCGTTTGATGATGTGCAAAAAGCCGGGTCGAAGCGCATCGGAGAGAGAAACACGATGCTGGCCAATTCAAGATCTAATCAGATTTATATCAAAAGTTGTTGTAAAAAAGCTCCATGTTGTTGGTATTTACTGGCTAAACTGAGTTAACACCATATCGGTAACCTTTGGCCAAATATTGGCCATGAGGACACATAGGGAAAGAGCTTTAGAAGAGCTATCGAATATGTTTTAAAACCTCAAGAGACATCACGCAAGCAAATTTGACATGAGCCAGACTTATGCTAGTTGCTACCAACAGGCTACAGGGAACACCACAGAACTCGAAATGTGCAAATCGAAAAACTCAAATTCATGGATATTGGACAGAAACAATGTCCCTCAATCCTCCAGTCCCATCGCCTCTCAGTATCATCTCGTCTCTCCAGCGTTTGGCTCCGCCCCGCCGCCTCCTCCCCGGTCTCTCATTGGCTGCCGCCGGAGGTGGGCGTGTCCTCATCTCCGGCGGCCTCTCGGGCGTGTGAACCCGCAGCCCAAACGACCGGCGCGGCGCGGAGGTGTTCCTCGTGAGAGACCTCGTCGTTACCGTCGCGTCGTGCAGTCTTGGCGTCGGCGGGTGCGGTGGGGCAGTGAGCGCAGCGGCGGCCGGTCAGGTCGAGCGTGCGGGCCGCCGGCCGGGCAGTATGGTGATGGACATGCGCAGCTGCCGCTACCCGGAGGGCACCTACCCGCCGCTCTCGGCCGGCTACGGCCCGCTGCGGGACGGAGCCGGCAGCCCCGGCTACGGCCAGCCGTACCCCGCGTTCCGCGCCGGCCCGGACAGCACGGCGGCACCGTTCAGTCCTGACCAGTCCGACTACCCGCACGCCTTCAGCGAGGAGGAGCACGGCGAGCACGACGGCCACGCCGAGCACGACGAGCACGTGCCGCACGTGCTGGCGCCGCACACGCACGGCCACGGCCAGCGGCGCTGCCTGCCCTGGGCGTGCAAGGCGTGCAAGCGCAAATCGGTGACCATAGACCGCAGGAAGGCGGCCACAATGCGCGAGCGGCGCCGGCTCAAAAAGGTGGGTGTCAGGACGGAGAGGCTCGTCGGCAGCACAATCATATGTATCAGTGAAGTGGATGATCTGGATTATGTGCGCGTAAAATGTTTTATTGCACACCTGCGACTAAAACAGGAACGCGTCGATTAGTAAACATCACTGAATTCGATTGAAAACACCCCAAAGAGTCCCTTCAATTCAGTTACAGTGCGTGAATAAAATCAATTAGATAAAATCAGGTGCCACATACTAATGTTGAGCTGACCTTGTTTTGCATTCTATTCATTTTTAACGAGATACTATATTGTAGCTTTATTTGCTGTCTGCTTTATCTGCTATGGAAATATGATTCGCATTTACTCAGCTCCTACGGGACGGAACAGGCACTTGTATTTTTTAATATTTCATCACACTTATTTCAGTAGGATTGAGCCCAAAACACCAGTGGGATTACAACGGTCGCATATTGCACCTTAAAACAATATGAGAACATTTCTCCTGACTTCGTCTAGGGCTAGTATTATAACATCATCTTCTTCATCTGATTCACTTCAATAGACTCGAAACAATTAAACGTAAATAGTTATTTGAACACCTGCGCTAACATTCGATTCATGCGAACACATCGTTAGCTGTCAATGGTCTCCTGTTTCTATCAAATCGAACATGGAACGATAAGGCCAACCGATGGGAGTGGTACGTTATTTACCGAATGTATAAAACATGTTTTCGCGATACAAATGACAGGTGAGAGAATCAGTGCAGTGTTCAGAGCTATATCCCGCGCCCCGCTGGGCTATTCAGCCATACGCGCCCTGCTGGGGGGGGGGGGCAGATTCTGCCCCCCCCCCCCCCTGTCTAACTTCCGAACCGATGGTCGTAGAAAGACGGGAAAAACGGCAATCGAAAGCTCTCAACAAGGCGGATCTTAAGAGCCCAATTTTTTTTCCTTAAGTAGGTCAGAGGTTAGGTCAAGGTCAGGTCAAGGGTACAAAATGCAAGTTTCTACAGTATCGGCCTTGCACCGTAGTTGCCGAAGAATGGACTGAGACTGATTGCCCAAAGCGTGCTCTTAGACTACCAAGACAATATTCGTTGCACACAATGTCATTCAAAGGTCAAGGTCAAGGTCAGGTCAGGTCAGGTCAGGTCAGGTCACCAAAAACAAAATATAGAAAAGGGCATGTGCGACACATGTTTTATGGGTCATTTTACTCATGGAATTCGATAGGCACACTCAATAAGTGATATGGAGCACCTCTGGATGAATTTCAGGTCGAGGTCAGGTCAAGGTCAGGTCAAGTGAGGTCAAATTTTGAAGTTGGTTGTTAAGGCCTAAAGGTGTCTATCCGATGCAGTTTTTTCACGGCGAATCGAATGGTGCTATTTTTGTTTCCGTACGAGGTCAAAAATAGCACCAAAAACTTCCAAAAAAATCATTTTTCAAAAAATTTGTGTGTCGTGACGTCATAAAATTTTGAATAACTCCCACATTTTTGAACCGATTCTTCTAAAAATTGGTATGTAGGTGCACATAGACCACTTCTTTGACATATATTCCGGTTTTTTCGATAAACTCAAAATTTTGGATTTTATAAATATTTTCCCAAAAAAGTCAGTTTTTTGGAAAATTTTTGGCCAAAATCCAAAATTTTCAAAAAACCGAGATAGCCATTTGATAGACAAAGTAGAATCACGTATAATCTTTTTTGTTACGTCTTGATTCCTTTAAAAATGAAGATGTTAGCGGCGTTTGAAATTTTGCCGTTTTTGAGGCGAAAATGGCGAACATGACGTCACTAAAACGTCAATTTCTCAAAAATTGTCCGACGGATTTCGCTCAAATTTTCAGGGAACGTGTCAATTTGATGTATGATAAGGTACTGAAAGTTTTACGTCGCTGGCGTAACGCGTTTAGAAGTTATTGGCGAAAAACGGGAGGGGGCAGATTCTGCCCCCCCCCCCAGCGGGGCGCGGGATATGCTTCAACAGTTAGGTATATATGAATGAATCATCAGCTTCTTAATCATTCTTTCTTCAGCAAAAATTAACCATATAAATTGCGTCCACAATACACAGAATATAGATATTTTAACCAGACATATGTATTGTGCATGGATCTGAGCGATTAATCTGTGATCTGAGTGGATGGCTCAAAACAAGCGACAAGTTTTGGATCTATGACCCCATCGGATCACACGACAAACCGATAACAGAGGTCCCTGATTCGAGTAGATCTTGCCAAACGTGACCTTTGAAATAATATTTTTATATGGTTTCATGTCAAAATGTACCACTGACAAGACTATGAATTGGAATGAGAAATCACAGAGTATTCCCGAAGCAGAACCATTGCGAATTGAAACAAGTGATCCTGGAATATTTTTTGTCAAAAAATAGTAGGGGAAGTTGGGGCAATGCCGGAGTTGGGGCAAAGCCGAAATTCGTGATATTTCTAAAACCGTACGACATGGATGCCACGTCTCAGTGATGCTCTGAAGCTTAAGTGACTACAATTATCGCATGTTTGTTACGAGTCGTCATTTGGAATACTTCGGCTGTGAGGGCGCCAAAAGCGTTTTCAAGGTACGTTTGCCTTGTACTACATGCGCCTTTGAAGCTGCATTTCTTACTCATTATGCTACCGTTTGTCTGGCCAATTCGGTCAAGTAATCTTCAGCATGTCTTTGCATAAGTGTGCTGCCTATTTGAAATTTATACAGCACGTTTAAAAGTTATGGACCTGCAAATGAAAGTATGGCTGGCTGGGGTAATGCCGAAAACGAGCAATTACGCACGTTAAAGCACGCTACGTGGACTTTACTGCTGTAGAATAGCAACGCGTATTTTTAGTCAAACAAATTACACTTTCAGCCGGCACAACGGCCTGTTACCTATAAGGAATAATTTACCTGGCATTTTGTTATTATATCACACAATTATAACTTCCAGTGTGCACCAAGCGTCCTCAAGCTCTTAAAACGCGTGTCAGCTTTGATGAATTTTGGATAAAGTTTGAGATAAATTGGCAAAACATCAATGTCGGCATTCCTCGTAGATCATTTATCCCATTTTCGGCTTTCCCCGCAGTCCGGGGCAACGCCGAAAAAGTCAGTTCTTTGATATTTTTAGTTTTTGCGCTTAACGGCATGCGAATTCATCAAATGCGCCTGGTATGTTTGAAAGACAACAGACTGGCCTCTCGAATGACGCCAACAAGAATAGCTTATGTTGTCTACCTTGCGTACTACGGACGTCAGAAAAAAGTATTCGGCGTTCCCCCAACTTCCCCTAAGGATCTATGATCTTAGTGGATCTCTAGACAAATAGCATTGGACCTATGATCCCAATGGATCTCTCGATTAATGGGAATTGGATATATGCTCCGATAGGATCCTAGCTCAAGATATGTGGAATCAAATTTTTGATCCATTTTCTAGGATCCGTGCACATGTCTGGTTATAAGACGAAACATAAACAGTGGGAGGAATCCGAAATGCGACGATGCAGAAACGATCTCATTTAGGCTCATTCAATGTTATTTTTGACCACGAACAACAGCAATAGCAATTTCTCAGCAAGATAATATCCGTCGTTCATTATCTACCGGCTACCCCTTCAACAATATGGGCGTTATAACAATCGGTAAGGACAAAATACCGTCTAGACAATATTGCAAGCACAATCACTCCCACTGTTAGGCCTTCAAATTAAACCAAAAACACGAATACTCAACATGAGCCACAGCCCAACCACGCACAACTGAGCGCTGCATTATCCTATCAAAACAAAGACGACCCGGCTCTGTGTCTCCGGCCTGTCAATCCGCGCCCACGGCTCGTTCCGCACGATATCGGGCGTTCCACGTCAGACACTCTCTGTCTCCTGCAGCCGCTCTCAAACCGCACTTACTGGCTCCGCCTCAAACCGCACCATCTCGGTCGAACGAGTTCTGACCGACTGACGCCCGGCCGTCGCCAGCAAACATGGCGGCGCCCATCGACCAGAGGGGAGCGGACATGTGCGAAATGATGGTAGTGACGAGTAACGGGTCCAGAATTTGATGACTGTAATTGTATGCTAGAATATATGCATACGTAAATATATGACAGAGGAAATGTGGTGTAATAAATAGAACAGTTTAAGTGTCCAATGCAGAACAAATTTAATATCATTTTATGGTTGGAAGGGATGACTCGAAGGAAACCAGTCCAGTCACACCTGTAAAGTCAAGACGGCAAGATTGGCGCACGTTTCGCAAATATACAATTGCTTAGAATGCATTTCGCGTCACAAAAAGTTTCTCTCGCGTGCAAGTAATTGAAAAATCGCAATGATTACGCTGCTACTCACTCTGTACTCTGTACTAAAACACCAGTACCTGTCTAAGTTCCAACATTGACCTGGAGTTGTGCTCCTAAATTCCATGACTGGTATGTGATCATACACAGAACATATTTCTGGATAATTCATTATGCAACGCTTTAAAGCGAAAAACATATAAATGATGAGATTATGCTAAAACGAGCAATGATCTATGCAATGTTCAACACTGGTAGCTACGATTAACTTGCACTCTTATCCCGTGATTTAATGCCATCAATTGTGGACCTTGCAACGCTTTCGAGCGAAACTGTAGGACAAATTATCATTACCTCAAATGTGTTAGTTCAGAGGGCTGACTCAGAGGAATTTCGTCTCATTTATAAAGATAGCGATTGTCTCATCATTACAATTTGAAGCCAACTGAATAATCATAGCAGCTGGTGCGAACATTAGAACACAGTGATAAACTCTGCTTCTCTCGTGAAAGTAAGCTTCCGATTAAAAGACAAGGGCAGCTGGACTAATTTTTCAGCAGCCCGGGATTAAATTGAAGACGTTTCTTAGCTATAAACATGGTTATTTTACAGACAGCGTGACGGGGCACTTTTCTTACACTGCTCTTAGTTTGTAGATATCGAAGTTCATAGTTATATTTATGCTCTGTTTCTAAAAAGCACGGGACTTTGCAGATACCCATTAATTGAAAATGTTCACATCTAATTATGCATAATAATTACAGTCCTAATTAGCATCTTGTAATGGTCCGAATCGTCATTTTTCTTAGAAAAGGCTGTTCAAAATGTTCCTGAAGTGAATAGATAATTAATTGATCACTTTTACCATCTTTAGGTAAAGTACGAGTATCAGTACCTACCTATTCATCTTTAGTTTATAAAATTAATGCCAAATGAAATTCAGAATACCAAATTTGCCGTCAAGCATCAGCATCCACAATCCAGTAAATTCGATGGTTTGTCTCGGCGAAAACGACAAGTCACTCTGAAAGTTTTCGCTCCTGCAACTCAGTCAAGAAACCTGAAATATGTGTCGCCCTGCTGGTCTTCGTCTCCAACTCCTCGTCTGCCGTCCAGCCCATGCTGCGGGTGGGCGTTTTGTCAACCAGCCATGACCCATTGATCATATTTCCATAATTCCCCGGCAGGTTTATGTGCCCGCTACTGGATCATCTCATCTCACATGTCGTCCTACCCGCTACTGAATCACGTCCTCCTGCTCGGTCTTCCCACGACAAGGCCGAAACCTCGCCATCAACACCGATAAAAACACAGTGCTGAGCTCTTTATGATAGGCCGGCTCGAGACGCTCACACCTTAATCCTCTGCAATATGACGAACGGGCGCGCCGCAGCGCTCTGAGACAAATAAACAGACAGTTTGACTGGGGATGATTTACGTGTGTATCCAGAGGGCTCCATTAATGCTACGCAGCTCCGATGGATTAGCTGATAAGTCCGAGCCAACAGCTGAATTATGAGCGGATATTTCAACAGCCGCCGACACGATGAAAATCGTGTTGGACGGCCAACAGTTGGGTGGGTGATGCTACCGACAGCCTCACGTCGTGTTCCATTTGTCAACTAATAATCGGATATGAGTTTATGATGTGAGCAGCGGTAGCAATCAATTTACCTCGCATGAACCAACAGATGGTTTTGTCGATAACATTGCCTCTTGTATTTGTTTTGAGTGATCATGAATGCACCGACACATCTCATGATTTATCGAATACCTAAATGTGATGCTAAGTAAATAACACAAGCACATATGCACACACGTGCTCGCATCTTACTAAACTAAACCCCGTCATTCGCAGGTGAACGAAGCATTCGACATGCTCAAGAAGCGAACGTGCGCCAACCCGAACCAGCGGTACCCGAAGGTGGAAATCCTGAGGGCGGCCATCGAGTACATTGAGGCGCTGGAGGACATGCTGAGGGGCGCCCGCGGCGGCTCCGGGGGCGCCGCCGGCTCGGGCGCCCCCGAGGAGGCACGCCCCGACGCGCCCATCAACCCGACCTCTGGCTATAATATGGTGAGTAGAAGGCGGTAGCACTGTATGTTTGCTGGTCATGTGGGCGCTAGTCGGCATTGTGGGCAAAGTAGGAATGGTGCTATTGTTGCAGTTGCAGGCGGGCCTCCATCAAATGAAATTGAATCGTCTTTCTATGTCTTTTTATCTTTTTTCTTCCTTTCTCCTTCTCTTTCTTTTCTCTTTCTCTCTTGCTTGCCTTCCTCTCCGTCTCCATTTATTCAACATGCCTTGGAGAAGATGATCTAGTATTGCCGTCCCCACATTTGACAAGTTTCCAGTGAATGAGGATTTAAATGATGAATGTGCAACACCAGCTGCATCAAATTTGAAATTCGTGGTAGCTGGGATTCATAATGGCAGACTAATCTTCGCCGGATTAACCCTTGACGACCTCAGCACATGCTTGAAACATGTAATCCACGTCATTTGCCTAACAGCTTCTAATGGAAGATCGTCGAATGATTTATCATTTGCAAAATGTTACAAACGTTCATATTTGAACAGTTCATTATTCTAAATTATCTGAATGATCTGAAATGGTATTAATCAGTATCTAAAATTTATTTGCTTCGATGATATGATAGTATGCTTAGAAATATGCTCGTTTATACACACTTCTTAAGTTAGCACAGCAATAGATTTATGTTATTTTTTTCTGTACACTGCATATCTTCTTTTGAACTACATTTTTAGCTCCCCACTCAGTCAGCATTGAGCATCCTCTCACTGCGTTCACTCGCCAGTGCTCTCCCTGCATGGGCGTGTGTGGTCCGATGTTGTGTGCGTTGCTGGCCCACTTCGCACGGCTGACCGGCCAGCGGCGCGGCACAGACCGGTGAAAAACAGACGGCGGGTCCCCGAGTGATGCCGTGAGTCCGTCAGACCACCCCCGGAGTCCAGCCGGACGGCGGCGCCTCAGTCAGCGACGAGGGCCGCGCTAATTTCAGCCCCTCCCCTCTCCCCGTCCCCAGTCGGCGGCCTCCTCCCCGCGACGGGGAACCCTCTCCCTCCGACCGTTGCCACGTGCCACGATTTGAGAATGTTTTCAAGTGAGGGATTGGTTGAATGTGGCTTGGTCAGGCGAAGCGAGGCGAGACTGGTGTGATTGATTGAGAAGCTTCAATGGGTGGTGTCGGACTCATGTTGTGTCATTAGTATTCTAAATTGCAATGATTCATTCAAAAGAATGCTACGTTTCTCTTACCTGAAAGAAACAGCTATACAAACAATAAAAACATAAATTCATAACGTTACACTTGAAACTAGAGCCATAAATATTCAGTGTTAATAACATTGCTTCCCTCTTCGCATAATCAGTCGCACGTTATCGTCACTCCTCCTTTCGATCTCGACATGATTGAGCGACAGAATGATGTAACATGTCTCCGAATGAAACCTGATTTGACACAGAACAAGTCACACCACCCAAACAGTCCGCGGGTCGTCACTCAGCCCTTCACCTTGAAACAAACACGTCTGGACGGAAGCATCGTTATGCACTTTAGGCCACGCTCGAGTTAATACCAGACGCTTTCTCAGGACCAGCGGCCGGACCGTATTTACCGAGCAAAACTCGCAGGCCAGCCTCAATAAAAAACGCCCGCAAAAACTGCTCTGAAAATACCCTTTGGTAATGAAGACAGCTACTTAAACTGCAATCTGTCACCCCATAAAGCCCCGCCTGTGACAGACAAAGGGGTAAAAAACGGTCGCCTATGATGAGTGAACTTTGTTACAAGCTCGACCCAGCCCTGCGAGCTATGGCTGGGAATGCCCATGAGCTCCAAAAACACGCGATGGGAAACATTAAAGCCACCGCTGTCACACACCGCTGTGCGGTTGAATAGATTCACTGTTCGACCCTCTAGCGATGACTTCAAAAGGGGTAGCAAAGGAGTGTCACGTCCTCTCATGTCTGCACATCCCCTTGTTTTTCACTGACCCGAGTCGCTCCGTCAGCCCCTCCTTCTCGACGCCATCACAGAAGCCCATAAAGTTCCACTAAAACCCTCCACCGAGGGGTTTCTGCCCGCCCGTGCCTGAGAGCCACCAGACGTCTGGGTGGCGTGCTCCGGACGCGGCGGCTCGTGTTGTCGGTGCCTGGGTCATGTCTGAGACCGGCGCCGGTGAGCTCTGAGCCGCTGAGCCGCTGAGAGGGGACTGGTGAGCCGGTGGGCTCCCGGGAACCGCTCCCGCCGGGGACAGGGGCGCCGGTCGGGCCGGCCCGGCGTCCCGGTGTTATAACACGTGCCGTCTGATGAGACCGTGGCTGCCGCGGGCCTCCCTCCGTGTTCCCTGCCGTGCTCCCCGGCAGAGCCGCCGCCCAGAGACGCCGCCGACTTGTGGAAAAACGTCCGCCCAGGCTGGATTGGGGCAGGCAGGCGGAGTTTTTGTGACCGCCAGCGCACTGGGAGGAGTAGCACCGGCCTTGGACGGCGCACGGCGCGGCCGGACACGTGTGGTTCTGCCGAGAGAAGCACCTTTCGGGAACCGGGACGCTGCCACCGGGTTTCCTGACAGGGACTGAAGGGAAATGTTGGGATTGTAACAGAAGGAAGGTTTACAGGCGTCAACTGGAACTGACACTGAAAACGCCTCAATATTTTCAATGCATTAATATTGAGCTTCAGTGAAACTCATGGAGCCAGGAGTTACTTTGCTTTGTTTTGACTATTTACAAGTCAGTGGACAATGGAGCTAAGTTAAGTAGATAGCTGTCCCAGGTCCCTCTTGAAAATTTTTACATGGCAATGATAAAAACATCCTCAATAAGGAATGGCATCGCCAGCACTCCCCACTCTCCAGTCTCCATTCCAAGGATTCGTCTGTGCAACAAATGTTCCACCTCCAACGCCAGCGATCTCTTTGAGCCTATTTGTGGAAATCAAGGTCAGTCTTGCCCGCTACAAACAACATCGAGTGTTCTACTCGCTACTACCGGACAGGGAATGAATGAATCTCGGAATGGCTGTCTTGTCGGCCTCACCCTCCGCCAACAGCTGCCGATTTCTGTCACGAACATAGGCAGGTGCGCTGGCCGCCGCCGCCTAGCGGAAAGCGCATACTGTGCCGCCGGACACGTGTGTACGGCGGTACAGTCTACCGCTCCAGGTACATACAGTCGCCAAGCCGCGCTGGGCTTCGTACGGGAGAAACGGGCACTGAATGGAGGGCTGACGCTGACCAATGCTATTTTCATCGGCGAAAGTGCCGCCAACGTATGATCACCAAACAAGCCAAAAATACATTTTAAAGCATTCAATAATTTATAAGCAGATATGTAACCGGCAAAATGATTAATGAATGATTCTCAACGGTTGTCGTATTTTCAAAATGCCTTTCAAATGTTTCCATGATCCATACATGAAATGTCAACACAACGGAAAGGTGCATTACTTTCCTTGAAACGCAGCAAAATTCACTTTCACCTGTTTTGACACACAAGTCGTCATCACTAGCACTCAGCAGTCACTTTATTCTCGACGGTAGCCTCTCTGAGCTGAATGTTATAGTGTTGCCATTGTGTGCCGACGACCGGCTCCGTCTCGTCTCGACTGCGCCAGTCCGGTACCGGCGCGGCCGGCTCGGGCAGACAATGGCCGGCTGAAGGCTGATTAGTGCTACCGTCGGCAGCATCGGTAACGACGGCTGCGCCACCTGCCGCCGACGCGTCACTCCGCGTCGACGGCGACAGCGCGCCAGGTCAACACGGAGAGTCCGCGCGGAGACACGGAGATAGGACGGTGATCGTGATGTGTTATGAGATGACGGCAGTTGCATGGATGCTTAGGTGTGAATAAGAAATAAGAGAATACTTGTTTTTATGTCTTCTAGAAAGTGGTTAAGGCTTACATGCTTAGGATATGCTTAGCTTACCTATATGAAAATAATGCATATTTGAAAAGCAAAATTGAAATCAATATGCAATTTCACTATCGTACTCTAATTGCACGCAATGAGAGACGCACGGAGGAAACCAAAACTACTCGGGCCAAACAGTAAACATATCTTATTTTGTTAGGTGTACCATATGGTTTCGTTTTAGCACAATACAGAAATTGCGCAACGGCTGTCTGAACATTCAGGCGTGACATTGCCAAACACACCTGGCAACGTCACTTAGCGCCCACAACAGCGGCAAAACAACATCGCAACTGCAACACAATATCAACGGGATGGCCGCGCCACCGTCCCGCCCGTCAGTTAGACGCTCCAAGGCGTGGGACCTGCCAGAACAACCGTCTCACTTTCATATCCTGTCCGCTTCACGCCCCTTTCCGATTCGCCACGGTATCTCTTCTTCGGAGGGAGAACATTGTTTATCATCGTATCAACTATCATGTAGCTAGTAGCGAGAGTGACTGCATTCTTCATGTCTGCCGTGAATTATTAGACCGCGAACTTTGATTGTATGGGAAGAAAGGAAATGCCGTGGATTTAATGAAAAATGCTGGAAACGAAAGCGTTAGACATTTGCAACTTTGTCTTGTTCATTATGCGCTAAATATGCTAAACTTACTTATTTTCTGACTGCCTTACCCTGGTTTCCATCAGGCTAATGTAGACGGTCAGCTTCTTTGCTGTGTTTCGTATCCATCCTGCTTTACGTTTTAACACGGAAATGAGCCGATTCATTAAACATAACACTTGGTAGCCTAGTCGTGTGTCTATTCTTTCTTGACCAGTGCGTTTTGGTTTCAGAACGGCGGCACGTCCTACTACAATACTCGACAGAGCAGCTATAGCAGCCCAGACAGCTACACGCCAATAACAAATGGTAAGACACCGGCGGTCGGCCGCCACCCGCCGCGCCGGACGGCGTATTATCGGCTAATGCTTCCTCTGAGCTGTACTGCTGTTTGTTTTGGCCGTTTAGCGGGAATACGAGCGGCCTGGGGTCGGAAAACGGTATGCGGCACAGATTGTGTTTCGCTTTGTGACGCAAGTATTTCTTTGATGACCACTCTCACGCTTGGAACTGATGAAAGGTTTGAATTCCAGCGATTGGGGGAAAAAATCACCGTTTGTTGGACTATTGCAGTCTTTCCCTGGCAAACAAACAGCATGGATGTCGTCAAATGTAAACCATTCATGTCAGTTGAGAGAGTTTCTCAGAATTGAATTACCAGCATGTACGTACATACAAAAACGCCTCTCGCATTTCAGGATTTGATAAGTGTAAAACCCTAACCTTTGTGGTAAAGCGTCTAAAATGTTATCAATCACTTAGGTGTCATATCCCTCAAAACCGGGCTGCTACCGAAGAAATCAAAGGTAAAATCTTGGCTGAAGTCTCCTAATCTAATTCTGCTATTTCTCTGCAACGACAGGTGTTCAGAGCGAGTGCTATCATTGACAAATACATTGTTTGATGGCGGTGATGCGTTGCACGTCACACCACCAGATTCCAAAGAAAACAGCCGAGCTTTCTGCACGGTCCTCGGTCATAGATATTGGCAACGGTGCGGTCAGCAATCACGAATATTTTGGGGGAATAAGAGGAAGATAATTTAACCTGCTACAAGGTTCAGATTCTCAATAGGTATATACAGGATTGATATCAAAGTGGCAATGCCTAGCTTGCGACGTCTGTCAAGACAGCCTCAGATTCAGATTCACTTTCAGAATCACATTCGGACCCCCTTAGATTTTCATAAAAACTGGTCCATGGGTACAGTTTTGGACGCTGATTCCAATGGTGAAGTCTGTTTTTCGCCACATATTATACTTTGGCCCCTAGAGGCATTCAAAGTTTTTTTTGGGGCGAAGGGGGACCCCCTTAGATTTTCATAAAAACTGGTCCATGGGTACAGTTTTGGACGCTGATTCCAAAGGTAAAGTCTGTTTTTCGCCACATATTATACTTTGGCCCCTAGAGGCATTCAAAGTTTTTTGGGGGAAGGGGGACCCCCTTAGATTTTCATAAAAACTGGTCCATGGGTACAGTTTTGGACGCTGATTCCAATGGTGAAGTCTGTTTTTCGCCACATATTATACTTTGGCCCCTAGAGGCATTCAAAGTTTTTTTTGGGCGAAGGGGGACCCCCTTAGATTTTCATCAAAACTGGTCCATGGGTACAGTTTTGGACGCTGATTCCAATGGTGAAGTCTGTTTTTCGCCACATATTATACTTTGGCCCCTAGAGGCATTCAAAGTTTTTTTTGGGCGAAGGGGGACCCCCTTAGACTTTCATTAAAACTGGTCCATGGGTACAGTTTTGGACGCTGATTCCAATGGTGAAGTCTGTTTTTCGCCACATATTATACTTTGGCCCCTAGAGGCATTCAAAGTTTTTTGGGGGAAGGGGGACCCCCTTAGATTTTCATAAAAACTGGTCCATGTGTACAGTTTTGGACGCTGATTCCAATGGTGAAGTCTGTTTTTCGCCACATATTATACTTTGGCCCCTAGAGGCATTCAAAGTTTTTTGGGGGAAGGGGGACCCCCTTAGATTTTCATAAAAACTGGTCCATGGGTACAGTTTTGGACGCTGATTCCAATGGTGAAGTCTGTTTTTCGCCGCATATTATACTTTGGCCCCTAGAGGCATTCAAAGTTTTTTTTGGGGCGAAGGGGGACCCCCTTAGATTTTCATAAAAACTGGTCCATGGGTACAGTTTTGGACGCTGATTCCAACGGTGAAGTCTGTTTTTCGCCACATATTATACTTTGGCCCCTAGAGGCATTCAAAGTTTTTTTTTGGGCGAAGGGGGACCCCCTTAGATTTTCATAAAAACTGGTCCATGGGTACAGTTTTGGACGCTGATTCCAATTGTGAAGTCTGTTTTTCGCCACATATTATACTTTGGCCCCTAGAGGCATTCAAAGTTTTTTTTGGGCGAAGGGGGACCCCCTTAGATTTTCATAAAAACTGGTCCATGGGTACAGTTTTGGACGCTGATTCCAATGGTGAAGTCTGTTTTTCGCCACATATTATACTTTGGCATCTAGAGGCATTCAAAGTTTTTTTGGGGGAAGGGGGACCCCCTTAGATTTTCATAAAAACTTGTCCATGTGTACAGTTTTGGACGCTGATTCCCATGGTGAAGTCTGTTTTTCGCCACATATTATACTTTTCCCCTAGAGGCATTCAGATTCACTTTCAGAATCACATTCGGACCCCCTTAGATTTTCATCAAAACTGGTCCATGGGTACAGTTTTGGACGCTGATTCCAATGGTGAGGTCTGTTATTCGCCACATATTATACTTTGGACCCTAGAGGCATTCAAAGTTTTTTTTGGGCGAAGGGGGACCCCCTTAGATTTTCATTAAAACTGGTCCATGGGTACAGTTTTGGACGCTGATTCCAACGGTGAAGTCTGTTTTTCGCCACATATTATACTTTGGCCCCTAGAGGCATTCAAAGTTTTTTGGGGGAAGGGGGACCCCCTTAGATTTTCATAAAAACTGGTCCATGTGTACAGTTTTGGACGCTGATTCCAATGGTGAAGTCTGTTTTTCGCCACATATTATACTTTGTCCCCTAGAGGCATTCAAAGTTTTTTTAGGGGAAGGGGGACCCCCTTAGATTTTCATAAAAACTGGTTCATGTGTACAGTTTTGGACGCTGATTCCAATGGTGAAGTCTGTTTTTCGCCACATATTATACTTTGGCCCCTAGAGGCATTCAAAGTTTTTTTTGGGCAAAGGGGGACCCCCTTAGATTTTCATAAAAACTGGTCCATGGGTACAGTTTTGGACGCTGATTCCAATGGTGAAGTCTGTTTTTCGCCTCATATTATACTTTGGCCCCTAGAGGCATTCAAAGTTTTTTTGGGGCGAAGGGGGACCCCCTTAGATTTTCATAAAAACTGGTCCATGTGTACAGTTTTGGACGCTGATTCCAACGGTGAAGTCTGTTTTTCGCCACATATTATACTTTGGCCCCTAGAGGCATTCAAAGTTTTTTTGGGGAAGGGAGACCCCCGTAGATTTTCATAAAAACTGGTCCATGGGTACAGTTTTGGACGCTGATTCCAATGGTGAAGTCTGTTTTTCGCCACATATTATACTTTGCCCCTAGAGGCATTCAGATTCACTTTCAGAATCACATTCGGACCCCCTTAGATTTTCATAAAAAAAAAACTGGTCCATGGGTACAGTTTTGGACGCTGATTCCAATGGTGAAGTCTGTTTTTCGCCACATATTATACTTTGGCCCCTAGAGGCATTCAAAGTTTTTTTTGGCCGAAGGGGAACCCCCTTAGATTTTCATTAAAACTGGTCCATGGGTAAAGTTTTGGACGCTGATTCCAACGGTGCAGTCTGTTTTTCGCCACATATTATACTTTGGCCCCTAGAGGCATTCAAAGTTTTTTGGGGAAGGGGGACCCCCTTATATTTTCATAAAAACTGGTCCATGGGTACAGTTTTGGACGCTGATTCCAATGGTGAAGTCTGTTTTTCGCCACATATTATACTTTGGCCCCTAGAGGCATTCAAAGTTTTTTTTGAGCGAAGGGGGACCCCCTTAGATTTTCATAAAAACTGGTCCATGGGTACAGTTTTGGACGCTGATTCCAATGGTGAAGTCTGTTTTTCGCCACATATTATACTTTGGCCCCTAGAGGCATTCAAAGTTTTTTTTGGGGAAGGGGGACCCCCTTAGATTTTCATAAAAACTTGTCCATGTGTACAGTTTTGGACGCTGATTCCCATGGTGAAGTCTGTTTTTCGCCACATATTATACTTTTCCCCTAGAGGAATTCAGATTCACTTTCAGAATCACATTCGGACCCCCTTAGATTTTCATAAAAACTGGTCCATGGGTACAGTTTTGGACGCTGATTCCAATGGTGAAGTCTGTTTTTCGCCACATATTATACTTTGGCCCCTAGAGGCATTCAAAGTTTTTTTGGGCAAAGGGGGACCCCCTTAGATTTTCATAAAAACTGGTCCATGGGTACAGTTTTGGACGCTGATTCCAATGGTGAAGTCTGTTTTTCGCCACATATTATACTTTGGCCCCTAGAGGCATTCAAAGTTTTTTTGGGGCGAAGGGGACCCCCTTAGATTTTCATAAAAACTGGTCCATGGGTACAGTTTTGGACGCTGATTCCAAAGGTAAAGTCTGTTTTTCGCCACATATTATACTTTGGCCCCTAGAGGCATTCAAAGTTTTTTGGGGGAAGGGGGACCCCCTTAGATTTTCATAAAAACTGGTCCATGGGTACAGTTTTGGACGCTGATTCCAACGGTGAAGTCTGTTCTTCGCCACATATTATACTTTGGCCCCTAGAGGCATTCAAAGTTTTTTTTGGGCGAAGGGGGACCCCCTTAGATTTTCATCAAAACTGGTCCATGGGTACAGTTTTGGACGCTGATTCCAATGGTGAAGTCTGTTTTTCGCCACATATTATACTTTGGCCCCTAGAGGCATTCAAAGTTTTTTTTTTGGGCGAAGGGGGACCCCCTTAGACTTTCATTAAAACTGGTCCATGGGTACAGTTTTGGACGCTGATTCCAATGGTGAAGTCTGTTTTTCGCCACATATTATACTTTGGCCCCTAGAGGCATTCAAAGTTTTTTTTTGGGCGAAGGGGGACCCCCTTAGATTTTCATTAAAACTGGTCCATTGGTACAGTTTTGGACGCTGATTCCAACAATGAAGTCTGTTTTTCGCCACATATTATACTTTGGCCCCTAGAGGCATTCAAAGTTTTTTGGGGGAAGGGGGACCCCCTTAGATTTTCATAAAAACTGGTCCATGGGTACAGTTTTGGACGCTGATTCCAATGGTGAAGTCTGTTTTTCGCCGCATATTATACTTTGGCC